CTTAAGACGGTCATCACGGAGAGTCTAGCCTTTTGCAATTCTCTTGAAAGCTCACATCTACCAAACAATATCTAGTGCAATCAATCTCACTTAGCGGAATCATTGAAGTAAAATTCTGGGAGGGATGGGAAATAACAAAAGAACTGCTTGACAATTTTCAGAGGTTTAGGGTTATTTTCGCGACATTTTACGGGAAGTTCGGTCCAAAACTAGCGACAGTTTTAAAAGGATTCGCAGAAAATTACTCGACAGGCTAAGGGTTAAAGAATAAAACCTTTATAAATATTATGGTACTGAAATCAAATTAAAATGAAATTATATTCTAATGAAAACAAACGCCGTGGGTCTTGCTAAGACAAAATATATATTATATATATATATATATATATATATATAAAAAAATAAACAGACCTGTGACTGAGCCGGCCTCTTGATCGCGAAACATATTTCAAAAGGGGTGTAATCCCCTCCGTGTCTTACAAAGCCATCCCTCTCGTCGTGTGACGTAGGAGGGTGAAACAATGCCATTTCGTATCGGCCAATGCGATTAGATTGTACTTTGGCGGGAACTCTTATCCCGCCCGTGTTAAAGAGGGGTGAGAGACTCGAAAAGACATGGAAAGAATTCAAAATGGCGTCAGTCAGGTTGTTAGAAGAACAAAACAGCTAAAAAATGTGAAAATGGCCAATTCAGCTAAGATTACTCATCAGGGCCACAAAAGTAAGAGTGAAAATGGAAAAAAAAGCCATTTGTTAATAAAAGTCGTAATTCTTCAAACTAGAGGGCGATCAAGCTACAATGAAAAATGAAAAGGCCCGATTTGTTAATAAAAGTAGAATTTTGGCCATCTAAGTAATTCAAAACTATTAAAACAATAGTATTAAAATATTGTGCCAAAATCTTTGGAGGAAAGAAAATGTAGTGTCGAGAATTATCTGTACATTTTTACATTAGATTATCTGAATCAGCCATCCACATTATACCGTCCCATTGGGCTTTAAGTATAAAATTTCATTATCTAAAACAAATTATCTAAAAATTGGTAAGGCTAATGCCAGCTTTTTTTAATGTATTTTTAATTATTTTATGAGGAATTAGGTTATTTTTCAAATTTGTAACGAAGTAAAGTATTTCTTCTTGAAAGTGTTCTGTTGTATTACATATTCTTTTTATTCTAAGTAGCTGTGAAAAAATTGTGTTTATGATGATTCTTTTGGAAATATTAGAATTCCAGTTGGTTAACTTTAGTGTAGAAAAGGTGAATTCTCTTCTCTTGTCGTAAACTTTTATAAAATTGTAATCAATAATATTTAAGTAAAGGCAGACTAAATTATTTTGCACCGTATTTGTATTCTTTAGTTTTAAGCAAATGGGGTAGATATTAGAAACTTCTATTTTGTTGTGGTTGTTAAAGGCAATGATATCATCAATGTAACGATATATGTGTTGGTAAAATTTATGTTCTTTACTTAGTGAACGGACAAAGGTCAATTCTTTTGTAAAAAGGAATAATTCACATACAACACTTGAAAAATTACCTCCCATTGGAATTCCTTGAATTTGTTTAAAGATGCTATTGTTAAATTGAATAAAATTATTGAAAAGCACGCGTGAAAGAAAAAGTTGCCATTTTTCGGTACTTATTATGGTCGAAATTTGTGGAATTATATCAGGTAGAGCAAGTAAGCTTATATATATTTCTTTAAGCGGTAAGATTGTATAGAGGTTTTCGAAATCGTAGCATTGTATATGGTCTATTTTAAGTGAATTAATAGTTTTGAGAACTAGCTCGTTACTTGAAATCATCCAGTTGCAATGTAGATCCTTAAAATCATAGTTATTAATTAAGTCACGTATTAAACGAAGTTTTTTTGCAAAAAGTGTATATATCTATCTGTCTATATATATATATATATATATATATAATTTATTTACTAAATAATATTGATTATATTATCTTCTAAGATTAATTATAGTAGAATTATTTGTAAAGAGTGAATCCATCTTTAGGAAGTTCTATTTCGAAAGATGTTTCTAAGTAACTTAAATGTAAATTTGTTAAAAATGGTTAACGGGAACTTAAATTAAATCGTGAATAACAAAATTTCAATTTCAAAAGGAATAAATTAATATATATATATATATTGTTGCGTGCGTACGGGTTCGTTACGAAATGAATGCACAAGTCCGATGAAAAATGAACAAAAATTTATTATTATCACAACAAATATGCTTAAATTTCGTAAAATATTCGTGCAGTATTACAATATCTCACAGTAGTTATCTTTTAACTACTCAAACGTTCAAGAGAACGTAATTCAAAACGGCTAAAGAAAGCTAATCCGCGAATTCGCTACAGTCAACAAGAGCAGTTTTCTAAACAACAACAAACTAAGTAACTACAACGAACTGAAATCGAAATCGAGTGAATGGTTAGGCGGCATTTAGTAGCCTCTGCTACTTTAACCGTCTCTGTTGGAGATATGCCCTAAGGCGTTGGGAAGAATTAAAAATTAAGGTGATTTACACCGCACCGACAAAGGTGAAGCAGGGACATGTGCTAATGCACGTGAGTTGGTCAAGTAGACATTGGAGAAGAAGGGTTCAAGCATCTGGCCGCCGTACAAGCTGTGATGTATCTTCACTAGTTGAAGAAAGATGATACGTCGAGGCTAGTCACGTAGGTGGTCACCCACCCAAGTACTGATCCCGAGCTGCTCTGCTGCTGTAAACAGGGGAACCTGTGTGTTGAAAAAGTGAAAGAAATCGTAAACATAGTGAAATTCCTTCAAATGCATCTAAGCTGGTGATTACTTTTCACTTTCAGCAAATCTCATCAGTGTCATGGCTGCTTTACAACGAACTGAGAGGTTTTCCTCCTTTTATAAGATTTTTAAATCGCGCGCGAGAACTTTCTGGAACTTTCTCGAAATCAAAAAGAGATATTTATTAAATGTTAAATGCACGCGCTCTTCTATTTTCAATTTTCCGGCTTGGCTTTCTTTCAATATTCGTCACGCGCTTCACTGCGCGGGAAATAAAACCATTTAATTTACAATTCAACTAACATTAGCTATTCAAATATGAAATTCGTAACAATATATATATATATATATATTACTGTATAATGGAAATGACATCAATACAATTTTCAGAAAAAGCCTTCACATCGTAGATTTTTGGAAATATAATTCAGCAGCATATGACCATTTTTTCTTTTGATAACCTATTCAGTGATAACGATCATCATAGCATGATTCATATCAGTTAGATAGCGTTAGCTATTCTAACTGAATATTGGCTAATCACGGGATGTTACTTTTCCATTTTGCCGGCGCAAGGAATAAAGTCGCCAAAAATGGTACAACCGATGCCAACTTCAATTCCTCGCTAGTAACCTTTTACGAATCATTTTCAAAACACGTCGCAGGCATTTCTTATCAGATTGATTGTTTCTTTCAATACTGGCATACAATTACATATAAGTTTAACCAGATAGTTCAATTTTATGCCTTTATGTAATTAAGTCAATTAGGAAGCAATCACACCGCTCACCCGAAGGCAAAAAGGCAAAGTCAAGGGTTAAATTCTTCAATTCTAATAAGAATGCACTAGCGAAGTAAAGCACTGCGGTTTCACATAATTTCCGAGTAAGCTATTCGTACGAATTGAAATAATTCTTGCATTTAAATTTGTGATCTGAATTAAGATTTAACTTGAAATTAATGTAGATAATTACTGAGAAAATTAGATTTTTATATCGTATTTTACGTGAGATGAAATCACTTGGGGTCACGTGATATGAAACGGAAAATCAGGATGTAGTACCATGAAAGCGTAGTATATTCTTAAATTAATGTCTTTATAAATTTATTGTCTTTTATTTATTGTCTTTTTACAAAATTTTAAACGATATTAAAATGTTTATGCCTTCAAAATAAAAATTTCTTAGAACTAACTTATGTTAACATTTTTTATGTGTATACTGTGTATTGTCGCCAATAAAGTCTTGGCGAGATTTGCGCCGGCGAAACGGAAAAGTACCTACGGAATTAATGTCGATTACGGAGTAACATTCACAGTGCCATTAGTTTACTTCCACTGCTACTGGCATGATTTTCGGTATTTAACCTTTTATTTCCTGCGAGACTTTTACGTTCCTTCAATAAAATTACTCAATTATGTCCCATCTGGAATTTCAAGCCCCAATTTTAAATTTAAGAAAGTGAAGAATTTATGACATTTCTGTAAATTTAATGCAAGATGTTCAGTAAATATGATGCTTCAATAAGGTAAATTTGGTTTACTAAAATGTTTAAAAACTAAGATAAAACTAAGTTATTATTTGAATTGCATATTTAAATCTGCGTTTTTGCTCTATTATGCAGCAAATATAAATTAAAATGTTTCGCATATTTACGAGCTTTGACGTTTGAAGTTTTAGAATATCATGTCTTGCTGGTCTGCGTTAGTTTACATTTTATTATAAAAATGAAAGTATTATATCGAACTAGTTACTGAATGAGAAATACTTCAAATAATGAGAGCTAAAAGAACTACTAAATGAGAAATACTTACTTAGGTTCTGATTTCAGTCCATAACTGAGATATTATTCAGATTATACGGATATACCTTTCAGTTTTACCCTTATGAAAATGTTTGATCAGGTAATTATGTTAGCTACACTCCCACAAAGATTCGATTTTTGAAGTAATATAATTAATTACATAACATTAGCTTTACTTACAATTGCTAGGTTCTATGGTTGAGAGAATTTTTGACTGTTATATTATTTTGAAGTTGCATCTGTTTGTTAAATGGTTACTTACTCATTTTAGGTATTATTTTGGGTCGCTTAGGTTTCTTTTGGTAATTATCGCAATGCGCTTTCTTTCATTAAACTAAAGTTTATAGAATGTTTGGCCAAATTTAATTATTCGATTATTTCATATTCATCTGCCATTAATAAACAGTATTTTTTTTCCCATTCTTAGCTTTGTAAAGAAAAGCTGGACACATTAGCCATATCTGTGATGAATCAATGGCCTGGCATTCGGCTGCGAGTCACGGAGGGATATGACGAAGAAGGTCACCATTCTCGGAACTCGCTGCATTACGAAGGTAGAGCAGTGGATATTACAACCAGCGATCGTGATCCATCGAAGTATGGAATGCTAGCTAGGTTGGCCGTGGATGCAGGTTTCGACTGGGTCTTCTATGAAGCTAGATCGCACATCCATTGTTCTGTAAAAATAGGTAGGAAAAGTAACATGTAATTTTTGAAACTTAAATGCAGTTAAAATTAAATCGCATATTCTGCCTAATAAATAGCAAGATTCGAGCTTGTGCTGGCTCTGTATTTCTCAGTGGATGCATCATTTGAGCCATGTTATGGTATTAAAAATATCTTCATAAAAACATTAAATAAAAAGCAATTGGATTACCTTCTATGAATAATTTGCTACTGAAGACAACTGCTTCAGTAGCAAGAAAAAGCATAATGGCACATACAGATGATAAACGGAAGCTCATGTATGAGGTGCAAAGTTTATCTGAAAAAGTATGTTTATCCATTTCATTATAACTGATATTTATATAAGGAACCATTTTACTATTTGTCATTGGTTGATGCATCTGTTGATTTTTAAATTATTACCTTTGAACGCAATACTGAATTTTCCATAATGTTTCTCAAAATAATAAAAATCTCAAAATGTTTACAAGGAAAAGACATATTTTCTCTGATTTAAAATTTCTTTGCGACCAGGTACCTAAATCGACTCGTTTTTGAAAATCTCTACCTTAAAGTCTTACACATTTCAATATGTATGGATAAATATATCTTTTGAAGAATTGAAGGGTTTTATATTTGTTATTCTCGTGAAATGTATAATAGAAAAGGAGTGCTAAATTTCAAGGACATGAAGAATGTCATAGAACTATGCTCTGCTCTCACACATTTGTACCTGAAACTTGCGTACGTATATAATATTATTAATGATAATTGAATCCAGAATGAGATGAAGCATAATAATTCTTTAAAAACAGGGAAACATTTGCAGAACGCGGTTGTTATTCAAATTTTTGTAGCTGTAAGCATTGAGAAAAAAGTATACTTTACTTTTTAAAATGTATAAATCACTTTAAATAAATTATCAGTATGCTTAACTACGTAAACATCATTAGAAGATAGTTTAAATCTTTTACTACAAAAGAATTGTGAAATTTTAATGTAGAAAATATTTATTTTTGAAGTTTAAAATTTAAATGCATGTTCAAAAGTTACTATAACTAGAATGGAGGGCTAATCTAAATGATTCATCGAATTTCAAAACGCTGCATTTTAAGAATAATACATAACAATAATGATTGCTACATGGGGGAAAATACTACAAATTTGATGTATTTCTCTTACTCTTTAAATGTTCCATTCGGGCTCCGCTGGCGAAAAGGCACACATCCAAGAAATACGAAAGTCCAATTTATTCTTTCTCAATATGGCTTCCAGTCTTCTTGGAGAGTACTTAAAAATTTTCTTACACACCTCAGCTGTCAATAATATTGGCACAGCATCAGTGCTGCTATAATGATCATTGCTGCGAAAAGTATTGTTCGCAATAAGCTAAAGCTTGGATACATGTCACTACTTAGAATGTTTGCAGTGTCTTAGTGTGAGAAGAGAACTGCAATAATTTCCGGTTCTTTTCATGCATCATTCATTATTGCCTATGTAATACTTTTAAAAATATAAGGTTTCAAACCCGATGAATTATTTACAACAAATCTATACTGTGCGTATTATTTAAACTACATTTAATGAATTTTATTGTTCATATTAAACACTAAATAGAAAGTATACTTCTTCGGTTACTACTAATTTTGAAAACTCTTTTTTTCAGAGTCAACTGTGCCTAGCAAATCAACTGGTTGCTTTCATGGAAGTTCAAAAGTAATGACAAGGAAAGGTACGAAACTAATGCAAGAACTGCATATTGGAGATGAAGTTTTGACCTTTTTCACTCGAACAAAATCTATAGGCTACAGCTATATTATCGCATTCTTGCATCGAGACCCTCATGCAATAACTACTTTCATGAAAATGAAGACAGAATTTAATTCTTCTCTCTTAATCACTGCCAACCACATTGTTTTTCATTCTGCAATGGACCAAGAATTCCAAGGAAGTCACGCTTCAAATTTGAGAGTTGGAGATTCTGTTTACACCTTTCATTCTTATGAACTTAGAAAAGTAGTCATAAACAGCATAGATTATCAACTTATGACAGGTGTTTTCGCACCACTTACTGAAGAAGGAACAATTATAGTGAATGGTATTTGGACGTCTTGTTACGCGGTTGTTGATAATCATATTTTAGCTCATTTCATTTTATTGCCACTCCGTTTAATTTATAAGTTAGAAACAATGTGGCCGACAAATAATTTCATATTTCATATTTTAAATAAAGCAGCACCATGGGATGCAAAACCACTAATTGCCACTTTTGGATTCGACGAAACTAAAGAGTTGAATAAAGTTCATTGGTTTCCACGAACGCTTTGTAGGTTGACGACTACGATGCATTTATTTTATTGTCCAGACGATGTTGATTAGAGGCATCCTCTATAATTATTCATGTGATTTTAAATAAAATGTTTTAATCATTCCATTCTTACACTTTTGTAATTTTCTTTGTTTCTGAACACATTGTAACAGTTCTCTGACACCCAAAGAAAAAAAAAAAAAACTTCAGTATAAAATTATATAATATACTTTAATCGGTAACGTTGAATGAAAATATTGTTTGTATTGAAGATGCTCAAAATTGCTCTTTTATGTTGTCGGATCAGAGCTGTTCGCTCCCTGAAATGAGTCGGTCACCACTCGCTAACATAACTTAATCCTAACATGAATCCTAACATGACTTATGTTCTTTGCACTCAATCTACATAAAATTCAAGTCAACTGTAATATCGAAAAATATTTAAAAACAGGATATCTTTAGAATTTCCGATACAGATACAGTCTTGCGCGCTGGAGATAAAAATGTATTTTTCCGTACAGTGTTGCTATTGCTCGCTTTGAAATCGTTGAGTTTATCAATCAAAAATCGTTCAAGTCTTACAAACTTTGAAATAGATAATAAAACAAATTAAAAATTCGGGCTTCCAACTGCACATGTTCGGTTGGGGGACTATGTTATTCAAAATTTGATGGCTCTATGTACAGTTCTTTTTTCCCAATGTGAGAAACATTCAACGCAGCTTCCTCATTACTTAGTTTCTTTAAATACAATACATGGCGATAATATTTGTTGGCAACAGTTTGATAACTGAACCTACGCAAAAATGATGTTTTGAGACTAATAGCCCTTAGGGTATAACGCCGTTTTGGGCTAAAAAAATTAATTGCGATTAACTGATTCCTTTAAAATTTATATTAAAAAATTTTCAGAAATTTTCAATCTAAATTTTAAAACCTTGACTGAATGGTCAACTTGAAGTGGAATGATTACTTGGTGATTATCAACCTGCTCAAATGAAAAAGGATAAAAGCATTCCGAGCGAGCTTATATTTTTTGGACAGTCTCTATTTTGTAAAAATAGCAGAAAATGTTGACGAATACTGTTCTCGAATACGAGTCCCGGATGTTCCTTAAAATGCTAGATTCTTTCAGGTATAAATAATAAGAAATAAATAAAAAATGCTTATCATTGTCAAAAGATTTTGTTTGAAGGCAAATGTGACGACTAACTTGAACACATCTAAGAATAAAACTTAGATTAACTTGAACACATCTAAGAATAAAACTAAGATAAAAACACATCTATATTTATTAGGAGCATAGCAATGAATCTTAGTAAATGAAATATATCTCTAAAACATTGGAATCTTGAGATTAATTTTCTCAGCGTAATTTAAAGAAAGTGTTTGACTAACAGTTCAAAAGTTTTATATTTTTTCAAAATCCATTTAAATCGAAGCAAATGTACAGAGGGAGAAATTTCAATAATAGTAAGACACAACAAGCTAAAAATCGTTTTAGAAAATTGAGAATAAAGTTCTGAAGTGCCTTCTCGAATTGACATTATTTATCCAGATTCACTGTAATTGAAAAACTGATGCTATTTTGTAATTAGTGCTTCTGTTTGGCGTCAATAAAATTAACTTTACAAATGCTTCCTGCTAAAACGTTTAATGGATTTTTTGGTTTCAATTTAGTGCCTAAAATCATTTTTATCTTTTGCAAGATCAATGAAACTCAAGATTGAAACGTCTCGTTTTTAAACTGAACTTCTGTAAGCACATTAAATACAGCTATGTTCTCACACATATACACTGTGATAGATGGGAATAAGATCCAAATATCTCTAAAATAACTTAATAACTTGCGATTATCATCCATAAAAAAGTGATAACTGAATGTTCTTTGTTTACATCCATAGGAGTTAGGAGTATGTCGTTTCGCTGTGCTGCAGCACATAAACCTAGCGGCAAAGAAAATCTTACAAAGCTTTTTTATTGTTATTCATATTTTCACCCATACGAATTTTATATACTAATGCAGGCTAGAAATGCAATTACTTTAATTGGTAGAAATAACGTGCGCGACAAGTGAGAATAAATTTCAAAACGGCGATGATATACATGTATGTTAACGTAAATGAGCAGGCAGTCATTAATCACAAAGAACATATGTTGTTAGTAGAAAGAGGGGTGCTTAAAATTTTTCATATTATCTAGAGCTTTAGAGAAATTTCAGTACCCTAGACGCTAAAAATACATCAATATGTATTTATGACATTTTTGCATACATGAATACACATAATAAATATATTAAGATGTATTTATTATGTGTAATCATGTATATAAAAATGTAAACGACAGCATGAATTGCCGCTTGAACAAGTAAAGCTGCTTCATGAGTTCATTTTGGTATATTTAGCATAGGTGAAAGATGGTATCAAGGAAAAAGCGGTAAAAAGAATTATCTTTATGAATATTGAAAAGAAAAGTATATAATTAATCGTCCGGAGAATGGTCTGATTGCATGAATATTTCAGTGGTTTTTCAACTTACGTTGTTAACATAAATACAGCCAGTTTCCTAAGAAATTCCTCCACGATGACTTTTACTAGAAAGAAACATTTGTGTGCTTTGTCTTAATTAATAAACCAGTATTTTTCGAAAGTGATTAAACCATATCGAATAAACACCATTTTAGACTTTCAGTTATCAGGATTGAATCATATGCCGCTAGCTAGCAAGAGCTTATTATTTGACATTGAAAAAATTAACTAAACAGCATTTATTTTATTTTTTTACCATCAGATGAGCAACTGCACCGCCTTTAAGACATTCAGCTTTTATGCTCAACTGATGGAATCAACTATCAACTGTGTTGTTATATATAAAATTCATAAATTTTAGACTTGATGATTCATAATAAAATAATATAAAGAAAAATACATCAATAATAAACAAAAATTAAAAATTATATAAATCTAATTTATATAAGTCAATATAGTATAAGAATATTGAGAATTGTGTAATAAAATTTAATAAAAATATTAAATATGTAAATACATACTGAAATAAATATGTAAATAATGAATATGTAAGAAATATGTAAATATGAAACATAAATACGTAAGTAAATACTTAAGATCATTACAAATTTTGAAAATGAGCTACATGATGTATGATAATAGTAGGGGTTGAGAATATAAGTTTTGTAAATAACTAAGCAGTCGAAGTCATGCCAGTGTTACGACTTACTGTGCGGTAAAAGTTAGAAGGTAAATAATATAGGACAAAACACAGTTTCTGTTACAAGGGCATCATGAAAAAAATTGAGACCTGCTGAAGAATTAATGGATCTTGTCCTATGAAAGGTATTTCACCTGAAAAATGATTTCGCGAAGAAGAAAATGCAACAGCAGGAAGGATGTGATGAAAATGGATGAAGAAATAAAGAGTCTCTTTAAAATAAATGATTTTAATTTCAAAGCATTACAACAATCTAATACGTAGGGTGATCATTGTGAACTAAAGCCACCTTTTCGGGGAATAAGTGTACACAGATCCAATCAGTTTCTTTTGATACTGTAGAGAAAATTGCTTTTTTCGATCGAGCTCCTCATATCTTAGCGGAGAAGACGCAGGACTCTAAACCCGAAGGTCCCGGGTTAATGTTATCTTATTTATGTAAATGTCCTTCTTATTTTTCCAGAATATTTAGAGTCTAAAATGTCCCAGCATGTTCACCAGCTATATATAAGTAGTTCTTCATTCAATTCGAGTTAATAAAATGTCTTAAGTTTAGACTTGGGTACTTGCCTGTTCATTTGTACGATCCCTTCATCTACGCGACAATATGGTTGACCGCGTATTTCCACCACAGCCCACAATGCCTTATCAGTTTAACCTTTTCCCAGGGGCTGGGACATATGTTGTAGAAACTGTATTGCACCAGATGGCGCTGTGTGCGCTTGAATTCCTTGGACTAGGCAGAACTTTGATGACTGCGAAAGATGTAACACGAACGCGAAACACTAACTAGTTTATATGTGCTTCTTTTTGTTTGTAAATGTATTTATTGTGTCGTCAATAAATTAGAGAAATGATAACAGAAAGCGTCTGACAGGTACGACTTTCTATATATTATGATTTGAATTGAGTTTTAGCGACAAAAATGTTATCTTTTACAAATGTGTCCCGACTAATACATAAACTGGGGCTCGGACATTTTGTAGGAATTTTAGGCTTGAACTTGATACTATTTTAGACCCCAACAGTGCGTTCTTTTGGTGGATTCTATGGTTGAAGATTTGTTCGTGTTTTGAATCCACATGGCTTGTTTGCAAATTTGGTATCTTCCAGGAAATATTTTGTTGAGAATAGAAAATGAAAAAAGAATAATTTGTTACTTCGATTCTCACGCGTTTGCGTTTTCAGGTTTTTCTTCCTGTGCCAATACGGTCATTAGTCCTTTCAGATGATATATAATTTTTTTTTTTAGTTCAGTTTTCAATAATGGCTAAACGTAGATACCTAACGAAAGAAGAAATTTCGGATATCGTTGCGCGGTGGGATGAGTTGGATGAAACATTTGCGGATAGCAATTCTGATTGCTGCGATGACAGAGAAAAAAGATTTTCTGCTTCCACCGATCTAAGAAATCATATGGAAGTGGAATTTCAAAGTTCAATAGCAGAATCAAGAAATGACTCAGAAACGCCTGGTTGTTCGTCTGATCAGATTGGTTTATCACTTTCAACTGTAAACTATGAAACAGCATTACTTATATGAAAAACATATAACTCATTTTGTAGAATCATTTGAACGAAGTCTTTATTTAATTATTAAAAAGGTTATTAAAAATTGGTTAATTTTTGCTAATTGTCAAAACTTTATAATGGCCGTAGTAAGCTAAGTATTAAAAATTAAACTACTTTGAGTCCTCCAGATAGATTGATACATTTTTTTATCAGTTGGAAAAGCCCTTAACATTGTAAATTACATTACTGAAATAAGAATAAAAATGATATATGCAGAAAAAAAATCGGCTTGGAGGTCAAATATCAAAGAAATTTTATTTTTAGAAGTTCAGCTGCTAAAATTCTTCTGAAATTATTTTA